ATGCTAGTTAAAAAAGGTAACAAGCTTTGAAAGAGATACATTTTAGTTTTGGCACAGGTAGTATTTATCAGAGTGAGTATTTTTTTTAGCATCAAAAATATTTTCCAAGGAGAGAGATTTTCTTAAGAGGAGGGGGGAAGGAGGAATAAAAGAGAATAACGGAATGGGTTAATATGGAAGCAGGAGGACTCTCAGAAAGGAATGAGCCAGAGGGGAGGACAGGAAGATGGTGTGAAACGGAGGGATTTATAAAGTAGTATATTAAGGTTTATGTGTGGTCGCAGCCATACTATTGGAGGCCCATGAACTGTGAAGCCCCCACAGGACTGGACTAGGCCCTCTGGATATGGAAGATGGTTGTTTGGCTCAAACTGTTTGGTGAGCACTCAGGCAGGGGGATCAGGATCTGCCCCTGGTGCATGGGCAGGCTTTTGGGAATCTGGTGCCTGTGGTGTGACACCTTGTACAGCCTTGGTGCAGTGGAAGGGGCTTGGACCTGCCTAGGCTCAGTGTGCTGGGCTCTGCTGACTCCCCATGGGAGATCTTGATGTGGGGATGTGGGGTGGCTTGGGAGGGAGGGCTGGGAGATGGGAGGAGGGAGGAGGGAGGATCTTTGGGTGGTATGTAGAGTGAGTAGAAAATTTCTTAATAAAGAAAAACACAAGAAAAAAAAGATTTATGTGTGGGCCGGTAGGCAATGGCACACGCCTTTAATCCTAGAACTCCAGAGGCAAAGACAGGCGGATCTCTGTGAGTTTGTGGCCAGCCTGGTCTACAGAGTGAGTTCCAGGACAGGCACCAAAACCACACAGAGAAACCCTGTCTGAAAAACACAAAACAAAAAAGATGTGTGTGTGTGGAAATGCCATAATGAAATACATCACATTGTATGCTAACTTGAAAGATGATAAGGAAATATACTGGGAAGAGAGCTGTCTAACAGAATGAGCACAAAGCAAGTTTAAGCATTCTACAGTGAGGTGCCCAGCAGATTGGAGCTTCCCTAGGAACGATTTCTTCCAGATCAATACCCCCAATCACCAAAAAATAACAATGTTGACTTGTAATTATTGACCTAAAATATGGTAGATAAGCAGAAACCAAAGGAATTATGTACATTTTTAAACACATTTGCTTAATGTTTTTTCACATTTCTTTTCCTGACAAATATATGGTAATTTAAGCAGACAATAATGAGTGTTTATCAGTGTAGGTTCTCAATTAGCTAATATGTATTGATTTATAATAATATGTAATAAGACATATTGTTATATTAAAAAGCAATATGAACTGAAGAGCCTCCATGTAGTAAGCACTGAAATAAGGGAACTGCCCTGAGAAACTAACAAAGTGGTGATAGACACTGAAGGAAACAAGCCAACTGACTTTTCATCCAAACAGAATTCCATAGAAGGCAGGTGGAAACTATTCAAGAAAAAGATCAGAATACAAAATGGAAAAAAAAGGTCAAATAATTTCATAAAAGTCCAGGATTTGCGTAATTAACGCCAGAATCAAAGTGAAGACATGAGATGGGGCATAATTTAGACATGAAATTCCAATTTAAGACATAGAATCAGGATTCCCAAGGTTACTGATAATTGGAACATGTGCTGTTATGGCAACCAAAATGTGGGGAAGTGGGGAAGTGGGGAAGAAGGTGAGTCTTGGAGGCTGATGAATGAGAGCAAAGCATGCTTGAAAAATCTCATAATGTGTTCAGTCCTAAATGGGACATCTTTATCAATATGCACCCCTGTTCCCACAGCCAATGGACAGGAGTGCTTCCAGACATTGTCCCCTGGTCATGACAGGGCTCTTGAAGTCATGATCTCACAGCAGCTGAGGTTGCCTGTATAAGATCAAGCCAGTCAGAATCTATCGGCCATTGATGAGGGTGAGGGAATGAGAGCGATTTTCTTCACAGTTGTGACCTTTTTAGGTCACCCATGCTTCAGTGGATGACTCACACCCATGCATATACAGCCAACACTAACTGGACACAGTGGTTGGTATTTTAGACACACACACACACACACACACACACACACACACACACACACACACAGACATGAAGTTGGTAGTAAGGTGTGTTGGGAGAACATCGAAGGAGTTGGACAAGAGGAATAGGTGTGGGTGTGATCATAATACTTTGTATACAAGTATTAAATTCTCAAGGAAAAAATTCTGTAAAATAATTCATTACTTTATATGCTAACTTAAAAAAATTTTAAAATATTTTTATCAGCTTTGTGCATATCTACTTTTAAATTGATGACTAAGCAGTTTACATTTATGAACGAAATGATATTTAAAAACAAAAACAAAATAAAATCCTATGTAATAGAAAAATTCAGCAATGGGAGCTTTGTTGATGACTGCTAGTTTAATCATTAAGTTACATGTAAGTTTCCAAAAGACTCATCATCACATCTATAATGAATATCATCTTCAGTTAGCTTTTAAGTGACCATACAATTAAATCCGTTAAAAGATGTTGATGTCTTTATTCCTAATCATCAGAATCTATCAAAACAACAACAACAAAATTATATATGGACATAGCCAGAGATGACTCTTGGGTGAATGGAGACAGTCTGATGGATATTATTCTACCTTAATTAGGGGTAGTGTCTTCTACCACTTAGTAAGTGGCCCAAACTCTCTGAAACCTCAAAAACAAATTATGCAAATCATGAAATCAACACTATTCAGTGTGTCCTTAAAACCATGTCTGTGTTGGAAGAAAGTTGATGTAAATGATTCTGCTGCCATGGTATTTAATTACTGTTCGTGTTTGGGGATGTCTGGTGGCATTGCTGTCACTCACTGCGCTGTGGCATGGAATCCTTCTGTCTTCAACACCAGCAAGTTTGTGTCAATGTGCTCATCACTCATATTTCTTTGAACCAGGGATTTGGGCAGAGCCTCTGCATTGGGAGAAAAGACAGGTAATTTCATCTTTGTGAGATCCCCTTTGAGCTAAAAGCACAATCTTTTAGTCCCTCAAACATTAAGTGGTATTCTTGGAGGATTTACTGGATTTTACAGGTTTTTCAAAGTATGGCTTTTAAATGACAAGTCACCTTCAATAACTTCATATTCGCATTTAGAAAGCCACTCGAACATAAGAACATTCATCTCATATGCTGATTGTGTTTCCTCTATTCCACAGCCATGTTTAACCACTGAAAAATATCCATTAAACAAATAACAAAATGTCAACTTTTTTATGAAAAAGGAAACATCACAAAACTGTAAATAGCATTTATTTCAGAATTTGGGCTTGTCATAAAATTCATTTATCTGAAATTAACATATATTTTGAGCAACTAAATGTGTTTAGGGATGAAAATTTATCAGTACTGATTAAGGAAACCCAACCTTCCTGAAAGGACACAAGAAATATGACCTCAAAAACTAAAAGTTTTCTATTATGTTATCAGATTTACCAACACTTACCTTGTTGATGGTCCTATAATGTGACATGTTCATTCCAAAATTTGACTTTGAAATAAAATGTAATTGTTGGCTAAAGTTTCAATTCAGGTAGGTAATTATATACTATAAAATAAAGTTCATAGTATTACTGAGAAGGTGTTTGTTTAATATGTCAAAGTGATGTATATATTGTGTCACTTATCTGAAATTTAACTGCCCAAGATTTACCACATAACCATTCCATTGAGAGTGTGGATACATGTATAATTGACCTTGTCTTTTTTTTTTAACTTTAAAATGATTGTAGTTTATTGTATATAAATTATTAGATAATTAAGTATAAGACTTCCTAATAGGCAGAAACAAAAATACCACCACAGAAATGACGAAGCACGGACCATGATTCACTTCCTGTGTGCTAGGCAAGTCTTCTTTCATTTGACCTAATACTTTTTATTTGTACTTCCATTTGGGGCACTTTATCTAGATTGACTAGCTCATAATACCTGGGTTAGGAAATAAACTGTAGTTCTTATCATAGCAAGATAATTCTTTTTGGATAGTTATGGAATTTTCATTTGTCTCATCAGCTTTGTGGTTTTGTGAATTAGAGACATCTGGATTTGGATCCAGACTCTGCCACCTAGTGGCTATAAGACCTTAAGAAAGTCATTTATCTTCTTGGAGCCTCAAATCATTCACCTAATAACTTAGTAATAGTTAATAATATTGCCATCTAGGACTTTTGTCTGCAACTAGTAAATTAAATAATATGGTGTATATAAAGTTCTTTGCTTTTAAGAATATTCCCATAAACGGTCATTATTGTGACCAACATCATTAACATTGTTAGTGTTTTACTAATAGATGGTTTGGCTTATCAAATTTATTTTTCATAATTACTGAGAATTACAGTTGCTGGTTTGAACATATGTCATAGGGTAGAAAAGTAGGAAACACAAAATTTCAGATACTTAGTGTTTGGGATGCTATAGGTATTGAATAGATCCAAGGAATAAATAATGAGAGAAAGTCACAAGAGTCTAACATTAAATTCCGTTTTATAATTATTCAGATTAGCCCTGTCCTAAACCAGTATTGTATGGCATCATGATATAAAGAGAGAGGTGTAGTTGGACTTTTCTTTGGGCCACCAACCAGCTCCCAAATAAAGACACAGAGACTTAGTATTGATTATGAAAGCTCAGCCTTAGCTTAGGCTTGTTTCACTAGCTCTTTTTAATTAATTTAATCTTATTCATCCACATTTTGTCTCAAGACTTTTTACCTTTCTTTCATTCTGTGTGTCCTACTTTTCTGTTTCCCCCAGGTCTGTCTGTCTGGCCCCTAGTATCTCTTTTTCTTTCTTTCTTTTTCTCCCTCACAACCTAAATTCCTCCTGCTGCTCTTTCTTTGCCCAGAAGTTCTCCCTATACCTCCCCCCTTGATACTGGCTGTTGGTTAAGCGGCTGCACTTGTGGCTGGCCGCCGACCTCAGCCACCATGCCGAGGAAAGAGAGCGCTAGATGTATTGGTGATGGAAGAATCACGAGCCATGGTTACCTTTCTAGAGCTTTATTGGGAAAGAGAGAGAGAGAGAGAGAGAGAGAGAGAGACAGAGACAGAGAGACAGAGAGAGACAGAGAGACAGAGAGACTGCGTGGAGGCAAGGGAATACGGGAGGAGAGAGTGTGGAAAAAGAGAGGGCACGCCTGCTTTTTAGGCTGGGACGCCGTTGCACTCTGGTGATGTAATTGAGGACATAATCCTTACACTGGCCATTTAGGTTTTCATTAGACCAATCAGGTGTCTTAGGCAGGCAAGGTAAAACAGCAACACATCTTTACACAATTAAACAAATGCAGCACATCTTTACATAGTTAAACAAATATTCCACAACATAAACAAATGCAGCACATCTTTACATAGTTAAACAAATAGTCCGAAACAGGCGGGCACAGGGAGGAGGGGAGTAGCCGGTGTTTAATGGAAGAATTGGCAGATCCTCCATGTCTACATTTCAATGTTTTAAATGGCACACTGCTCTACCTCAGTTTTAAGTCCACTTTGAACAAATGGTGCTATAACATTTAATTTCACCAATATAATTTCAACAGTGTAGTAGTTAAAGATTTACAATGCAAAGGGGAAACTTGGTATTTTTGTCTTTTAGAAAAGAACATTTAAACTAGATGTAGTGGCATGTACTTGTCTCAGTTGGGAGGCTCAAGTTCGAGGATCCTATGAGCCCAGAAGGTCAAGGCCAGCATAGCTCATATGAGGCCTAGTACAATGAATACACCAATAAAAAAGAATACTGAATAAAACAAACAAACAAAAAAAAGCCACAAAGATTGTACAATGTTCCCATCTCTACCTGCCTCCAGTTGGGTTTGAGGTTAATGAAGGGGGAGAGTACTGAGAAAGATGACTGGAAGAGGTGTTGCATTTTGGGGTCAGACAGAAACCTGGTGCAAGGGAAATTCCCCGGAATCTACAAGGATGACCCCCATTAAGAACATAGCCTGAACTGGCTCCTGTGACCAGGCAAGACTTTCAGTGGAGGAACTGGGACACGAACCAGCCACACAGCCTTTGGCCTACAATCTTTCCTGCCTATGGAATGTGCTGGGTTGTTCAGAGACTGTGGGAGCGGCCAACCAATGACTGGTCCAGCCTGAGACCCATGCCAGGAAAGGGAACCCACTCTGACACTACCTGGAATGCTAGGATGATTGGAGAAAAAAACATCAACATAATGATGCATAATGATATTCTGCTATACTCATAGTTCAGTGTATAGCCCAATTGTCATCACAGAGCCTTCATTCAGTAACTGATGGAAACAGATGCAGAGACCCACAGCCAAACATTAGGCACAGCTTGGGGAATCCTGCTGAAGAGAGAGAGGAAGGACTGTAGGAGTCAGAGGGGTCAAGGACATCACAAGAAAACTCACAGAAACAACTAACCTGGGTTTGTATGAACTCACAGTGTCTGAACTGACAACCAGGGAGCCTACATGAGTCTGACCTAGGCCCTCTACATATATATGACAGTTGTGTAGCCTCGTCTTCTTGTGGGACTCCTAACAGTGGGAACAGGAGCTGACTCTGACTCTTTCACTGACCTTTAGGACCCTATTCCTCATACTTGGTTGCCTTGCCCAGCCTTAATACAAGAGGAGGTGCTTAGTCTTACTGCAACTTGATATGCCATGCTTTGGTGATCTCAATGGGAGACCTGCCCCTTTCTTAACAAAAACAGGCAAGGAGTGGATTGGGAGGTTGGTGCAGAGTGGAGGTGGGGAAGGGAATGGGAGGAGAGGAGGGAGGGGAATCTGTGTTCCAGATTTCAAATAAATTTAATTAAAATAGATTTTACTATTTTCTTCAATTGTCTAGAATTTGCTACAAAAGCCAGATATTGGACTACAAATTGTGATGGAAAGTATATGAAGATTATTAATAAATTTAAAACTGTTTGGGGCCTTAAAAAAGAATGTATGGTAGAAATGATTTATCTTTTTACAGGTGTTATATTTTTCTCCATAGATAGTCTCTCACCTTATTAATCTGAAACACACTCAAAATTAAAGTAAGAAAAGCTAATGGGAAAAATACAAATGCCACTTCTCATTTACACAATTCTGCTGTTCCCTGCTCATAGCAGACATGGATTCTTAGTTCATTTATATTGGTCTAGAAAATACCTGAATTCCCTTTCCTTCTCAGATCCAAATACCCATCTGCCATGCCAGTTCCCACCGAAGAATAGAAAGGGAAAACACTAAATTACAAATAACAACAAAAGAGTAGATTCATCTTACCTAATTTAGAAATAAACCTTCAGCACAGAACCTGCAAGCTACATTCAGCCTGCTAGCTTTATATAAATTATGCGCTAAAAATAGAATTTGCCTTTTGTAAATTGATGAAGAAAAAAATTAAAGTATGTCATGTGAAATTTGGCATGAAATTCAGATGTACACATTCACAATTAAGGGTTCACCGGAGTACAACCATACTAGTATTTTGCACACTACCCATGGCTATTTGGTGTCACAACAACAGAGCTGAACAGTTATGACAGTCCAGACTTGGAACTCTGGTTGCTTGGCCCTGCTGCTTACACCACAGCAAATCACCTAAACACAGCTGCCGTTCCACAGCATCCCTATTGCTGTGGACAATGCTTCATCATACTTTTTATTGTTTTAGGTCATGACAAACAGAAAGAAGAAAGGGGACGCTGCACGTTGTAGTGGTACGGTGCAATGAAGTGTGGATTAATTCACTGTCAACTTTTTAAATCATTGGTGCCGGAGGGAAGCTAAAAGAATAAAATGTGGACAATTCCGAATTAAGCTTTCTTTACATCTCTGAAAACCAGTGATCAGGACAAGCAGGAATTTTGAGTGGATATCCCTTCTCAACAGACTGTCTTCATAAAATAAAAGGCAGAGATGAGGCCACAGCCAAATTTCTCAGCAGTTCACTCTGCAGTCACTGAGGTAATCTGCTTCCCTGTGTGGACTTGCGAATGATTATGATTGTGGCATCTGAAAAGTACAGAGGGGGCAATTAAGATTATCAACTTTTAAAATAAAAAGTTTTAAAAACTCATTTTTTTGAGGTTATAATTACATCATTTCCCACTTGTCTTTCCTCCCTCCAAACTGTCCCATATACATCACCTTTTCTCTTTCAAATTCATTGCCTCTTTTTTCATTAATTGTTGTTTACACACACACACACACACACACACACACACACACACACACACACACACACATTGCTAAGTGTAACACGTTTGGTCTACATAATGTAAATTCCATGTATGTTTTCAGGGCTGACCATTTCGTAATGGAAAACCAATTTTAAGATCCAGTGGGTCAGGGAGTTTGCTGTGAGATTCTGTCTCCTAGACATTGCTGACTCTAGGTATGCAGTCCCACCAACATGACTGCCTAAGCACGAGCTGACCAAGACAATAGTACTGGATATGCAATCAAGGAGACAGACCAGGAAGCATCAACCCTACACAAAGATCTATAGGCAATTAAGAAATGCTGAGAGTGAGAAAAATAGTTTTCCCCGGGGAAGAACACACCAATTTTTCTCAATGTCTTAGCAAGATCAATTTTCCAAAGAGGTGAAAAGATTGGCAGTGGTCTCAGTGGTCAGTTTAAGAATGAGGGGAATGATCACAGTGGTTTTCCTCGCATCTTGTGAAGTAAGATGTTACTCCCATACTTGAGTTATTTCCTGTTGGAAAGGTCTGTGGAGAGCTTGACGTGCCTGAACCATTGACTCTTACCAACATCTTTGTAAAACAAAAGAGAGGATATTTTCAAATGAATCTGAGAAAACGCTAATTCAGTACTGCCTGAAGCGGAATCTACTAAGACATGTTTAAGTGATGGTATCGAGAGTGTATGTGGAATGCCAAAGGCTTTGCTATTTATAAGTTTACAAAGTTTACAGAACTTTAAGATGCTTAAAACCTGAGTTATTTACCTTCCTAGTCATCAGCAGTTACTTGGCAGAAAAGTATGTGAATGTATGCTGTCACTGGGTCAGCAGTTTGATACAAGGTTAGTGTCATTTTCCTTGTGGACTCAGCAATGTTCCTTAACAAGCAGTAAGAAAGACTAATACTGATTTTGAAATACATTTTAGTAATCACTCCCATAAAAATAATTTTTGTGTGAATCATTCATTGGCAGATGCTGCACATGCCTTGTGCTATGGAAAGTTAAAACTCTTACCTAGTCCTCATCCTTATACAAGTTGACATCGGCTTCAACCACAATTAAGAGCTAAAACTCAACTTCAACGGGAATTTCCTGGCTGTGATGAAAGTGTCTAGGGATTTTTGTATTTAATATTCCAGTTAGCTATACAACTGAAAAACTTCCACAGAACCTCCAATCAGAAGCGAATAATCCGTACGTTATCTCATTTACAAGTCAAATATCAGGACAGGTATCAAATAGACTATAGCAATGTCTTCCAAGATGCCTTTGTGCTGAAGAAACTCAGGCTTTACACATTGGGTTTAAACAATGTGTAAAAGAATGTTTTCTAGATGAATTAGACAAAGCCTAATTTAAGATAAACAATAAGTGATGAACATTAGCTATCAACATGGTAAAACAGAACACTAAATCTGAACCCCGAATGTGTTTTTAGACATCACTATAACAAATTCACAAACTTAATTATTTCATAGTGTTATCATCTTTGAAGAGATTGTCTGACTGTGGTGGCCATCTAAATATATATGTCATAGTTTAATAATTAAAAGTTTATGACAGGAGACTATGAAATGAAAACAGTAGTCTATGGGGAAGAGATATCATGTGGATAAAGGCAGAAGGGAGTCTACTGGAAGGAGGAAGAAGAAGAGTTAGAGATGAGAAGGGGATACAGTAGAGGAGTGGGGAAAGAAGCCAAGAAGAGTGCTTTTGTATTAAAAGTTAGAGCCCTATTATGTGATGAAAATCATGTAATGAGACCCATTCTTTCACATGATAAAGCAGTGCATGGAAATTTTTGTTTCGTCCCGTTATATAAAACATATAGGCTGGAGTGATAGCTCAGAAGTTAAGAGCACTGGTTGCTCTTCCAGAGGACCTGAGTTCAATTCCCAGCAACCACATGTTGGCTCACAACTATCTACAATGAGATCTGGTGCCCTTTTCTGGCCTCCAGGCATACATGTAGGCAGAACACTGTATACATAATAAATAAATAAATCTTAAAATAATATAATATCCCCAAGTTTACCCAATATATATACTACCTGTGCTTTAACATCATAAAACAACATTTTTCTACAAGAAACATATTTTCATGTAGATATGCTGGAACAACACTTAACAGTAAGTGCCAAAAGCTGAAAAACAAACAAAACCTGAAAATGTACCCAAATATATTGTTTCTTTTACCTCTAGGAATCTATATGTGTGCTTACACTTAGTAACAGTGTTTCTCTACTCTGCAACATTAACAGCAGTAGAAATTTGGAACTAAGGGCATGGTTGAATGAGAGAAATCCATTCTGCATAAAATTACGAACAACGTAAGTGATAGCTATTTTTAGCATTATTGCTTATATGCACTTTGATGATTTCACAATGCACATGTATTACATGGAGAAAAGAAATGTAATTAAAATTAGGTCTAAAAAATTGATTGCATTTTGTGGGGACAGTAAAGAAACAATGGAAAAAACAAGGGTACAAAATGGTAAGTCCATGAATAAAGAGCTCCAGAAACATTGTTCAGAAATGTGAAGCACTCTTTAAACAAAAAGGAAGTTCCAATTCTCTAACTTCACCTTACCTAAGAAATGCACACCCCTTGAAAATAGCAAGCTTTTTATTTGCTCAGGAAGATTCCAATTGTTCTGTAATTCTTTGATGGGTGTGCTAAACGAACTTGGCTTCTCACATCTTCATCATCTCGCACCTGCTCATTGACTCAGAATCTTCTTTTGTTAATCCTGCCTTTGAATTTATGTGCTGGCTACAGTGAATTTGTTCAGATCTCAAAAAGCACCAAGAAAGGAACCAGTTCCTAAAAGCACATAGTGTTCCATACAAGAGCAATAAGCACAAACACCAAGATAACCCATTATCACCAGAGGGGTTGCTACAGGTGGCAGAAGAGAGGCAAAGTCCAAGCAAAGATGATGGAGAACACAGAGAGTGGACACAAACCGGACCATCACGGTATCATGGGCTGCAAGGTCTAACCTTCAAAGTCAGAGGGAACTTGCTATAGGACATTTGTGCTTCTGTCCTCTTTCTTAGATTTGCCTAACTGTATATTCTTTGAGGAGAGCACTTCTGAATGAATGAATTGTGTAGCTACTGTGTTATTATATATTACTATTACCCCCAAATTACCTGGAAACTGAAGATTTATGCTGACTAGGCATTGACTTCATTAAGCCCAAGCCAGTGTGTTACTTCGTCCCTCGCTGCCTGTCACCACAGAGGCTATGAACAGAGACAGAAAGTGAATCTGTCAGTGCCACTCTACACTTAGAGAACCAGCAGTCTGGGAAGACAGCAAGGTAACACCTTAGAAACAACCTTCCATCTCAGCTGCAGCCAACCAGTTGTGTAGAGAGAAGACAGAGGAAGCAAAGGCAGTCAATGACTCTGGAGCATAGTCCTGCTCTTCTGGTCAGGTGGTCCGCCATATTTCTGAGAGTGGTGATGGCTGTGCCTCTCTCGTCATTGCCTGCACACTGATCCATCATTCGGTGGATGTGCGGGCTCTCACACTTCTTCAAGCACTGGGTCTATTTACTTTCTGCCGGTGTCAATCTTGTGCTACTCCAAGGGCATCTGGGTTGGGGTGGTAGTTAACTCAGAACAAGCAAACTATTAACAACAGGCGTGGTAAGGAATCAATAACATAAAACATACGTGTTGTGTATGTGTATGTGCATATTCCTTTTTAGAATATGGAGTGTTTTGTAAGGCACAGTCCCTTCTTTTCCTCTCCTATGTGGAAGGTAGGCATAGATTACTTTAGTGTAGTGAAGCTCACAATAAATTTTAAATCAGTTTAGTAATGGAAAGATCCTTTCCTAAACATGAGCAGGACAGAAAGAAATTCCACTACAATTTTTGTGCATGACTATTGATTTTACCCCTGTCAACAAGACCACTAAATATCCAGTCTTAGCCTCCATGTTTTCTGGAGAAGTGTTGTCTACTTACATACAAACAGTTATGTGAAATTTATTTATAAAAACATTTCCACTTGGATATGAGCTTGCATTTCTTTTTCTAACTAAAAGGCTAGATATCTCCCAAAGGTCATTTTAGAATTCTTCTGTTTGGTTGACAGGCTGAAAGCCAAATGTTTGAATGTCAAACTTAGTCTGAGGTTGTCTGCTGTCTAATGTCATTTAACATCTACTGTTTCTGAACAAAGCTGTTTCCCCAGTAAGAAAACTCAGTTTGAAGCAAAGCCACAGATTTTGTAGAGGTTTGCTTGAACCTGGAATCCAGGTCTTCCATTTCTTCTCTACTTCTACATTCTGGAGGGACAAAATCCTCACAAGAGGCAAGGTAAAAATTACAGATAAGAGACTGGAGAGATGACTGTATTTAACAATGCTTGCTGCTCCTCCTGGAGGACCCAAGTTTGACTTCCAGAACTCATGCAGGGCGGCTCATAACCATGATAACTCCAGTTCCAGGGGATCTTCTTGCAATCACAGGCAACTGCACACACATGGCAGATAACACACAGGCACACACACACACACACACACACACACACACACACACACACACAAATAACCCACAAAATGTTTCTAATTAATTAAATTAAAAACCATTTTTAGAGTGTTGGAAGGGAAAAGGGGAGAGGGAAATTATGTAATTATATATTCTTATATATCTTGACATTAAATGCTTATATAATTTGAAAATCATTAAAAAATCATGATAGGACAAACGGTTCTTTCATCTGACATTTCAAGGTTAACACCTTTTTAACAAAATGTGGTAGTGCCAGGTGGAAAGGTACTTAGAACCCAGTCACCAGTTTTCAGAGCAGTGATATTCTATGTACGGGGAGGGTTGAACAGTGGGAAAACCCCCCACAGGTGTAAGTAATAAATCATATTAGTTTTAGGAAATAAAAGAAATAATAAAATGGTGAAAGAATCTGGTATTTTCATAATAATCACATACTTTTTATTTCAAACATTATCAGTGTTCACATGTTCTTCCCCACTGGGTTAGACCCCTCTGGCTATGCCACCTCCTCTCCTCAAGTCCCACTTTCACTGTTCATTTTGCCCTTTCTTCCCTCTTAAACAAGGGCATAGATAATCAAAGCTCTCCTACTAAAGTGCTCTCTTTCCAGTGATGTGAAAACAAACATTGTTATTTGATAGGACAATCACAATATGGACCTTTGTTAAAAGCACTAATGTCTATAGTAACACAGAATGCCTCTTTAGCGGGAGTCTGATGCCAAATTCAACTCAAGCAATGGCTTTACCAGCTTTACTTTTCAGAGTTCACATGGAGAACAGCATTTTCAACTGGAAAATACTATTTTTCATGGTTAGGATGGCACATTCATTGGCAACTCATCTTGAAGGAGAAAGCATCTCTCTGGGCATGGCGAACACCACTGAAAGTCTAACTCATCATCCAACATAACCTGATCTGAATATTAGTTTGAGTTTGTGAAGAAAATATGTATAATTTTGTGATGATATGTCAGGAATGTACTCATGAGTTCATCCAGGAGAATGAAATACGTTTTAGAGTAATTTGAATAAAGTTGTGTTAAACAGATTTCCAAGGAAGAAAAGTGAATTCTTATCAGAAAGAAGAAAGAAGGAAGACGAAATATAGAAAATAAGTTATTTTGGGTCCAAAACTGACTGACTTGTATTTCATTTGGATTAAGAAGGAAAAACAAAACAAACAAACAAACAAAAACAAGTTCAAGACACATTTTCATATGTGTCTTTTCCCCAGATTAGAAATTGTCTATTTAAGTAGTTGAAAACCTATTGTGGACACAGAAGCAGGTAGCCATTATAGGTTGATCCAGGAAGACTCCACACTGTAATATGATTTGGCAGAAGAATTTAATCTTCAGCTCAGCTATTCTTCTTGTGGCAGTATTTCAGGTAATTTTGCAGCCTTTATCATTTGCAGAGCAATACCAAAGTTTGGGTTCTTGCATTCTGGGCCACTTTTAATTCTTTGCTATCATACAAATGTACAAGTCGCTGGGGAATAAAAAGGTAGGCTGAGATTCAAGCAGGGACCAACGGTTACTGCTTGTCAGCATGTGAGAAATCCAGCAAGTTAATGCAATCTCCAGATTGTCATGAAGTCAAAGCAGGAGGAATGTTAATAAGCATCTAATTCAAGTTCATTGCTTTACACTAGCTTACAGATAAAAAGCTAAAATTTATTCACATGCAATGGTTTGGCCAAGGTGAAGCGGTGGTAAAGAGGACTGGATGCTGATCATTAAGGTAAAACTACCTCTTGATTAACTGCTATTTTTCCATAACACTATCCATTTTTCTACCTCTAAAAAGTACTAGTTTAGGAGATGGGAATATAGGTATTGATATAAAGAGCTTGTTTTGGCATGTGTGATGGCCTGATTCTAAATGTCGGTTACCCTTACACACACACACACACACACACACACACACACACACACACACACACACACACTAGTTCTGTGAAAATGTCTGTGCTTATAACTCATAGGTCAATATGATCTTCCCTCCTTTAATAATATCTAGTGGAATATTTGCTACTAGAATGAAAATGGTGTTTAGTTCAGGTTTTAAGCACACAGCATGAGCTCCTAGGATCTATCCATCTCCAACCCCCTCTATTCTGGGGTTATAGGCATTTGTCACCATATCCACATTTTATATGGGTGATGTAGACTTGAACTCAGGTCTACAGCTAGTGCTCTTACCCACTGAGCTTTCTCCCCAGCTCCAAATCCTAATCAAACTTCTGACAAAGACAAGATTATTTGCAGAGATTCCAAATATCAGTAAGGTCTATCTCTTGTGATTATGAGAGCTAGGTTTTCCAAGAGAAAAATATGTTTGTATATTATTTACATAAATAGATTTTCTTTCTATCATATTATAAAACTTTGCAAAAATGACAAAAAGAAAATTAAAATAAGAAATCAATTATTCCATTTTTAAATATATTTTCAAATAAAAAAAACAGATTCTCTTAAAACAAATCTTCTTTGTGCAGAAAAATCTGCTCAGAGGTTACTGTTGCCTGCCAGATATCCAAACATCTGCACCATACCATGCTTCTTCCTAGAGAAATGTTGCTCTAACCCAAAACACACTCAAGATAAACTTCACACATGACAGCAAGCTCAGGGATGGAGCTGGCCCCATTCCCAGCCCAGTAAGAGTCCAGGTTGGGGGAGATTGATTCCCAATTTTCTAAGAAAGCGCCATATTGATTTCCAAAGTGGTTGTACAAGCTTGCATTCCCACCAGCAGTGGAGGAGAGTTCCCCTAGCTCCACATCCTCTCCAGCATAAGGTGTCTTCAGTGTTTTTGATCTTAGCCATTCTGACAGGCGTAAGGTGGTATCTCAGAGTTGTTTTGATTTGCATTTCCCTGATGATTAGGGATGTTGAGCAGTTCCTTAAATGTCTTTCGGCCATTTGAGTTTCCTCTGTTGAGAATTCTCTGTTTAGTTCTATAGCCCATTTCTTAATTGGACTGTTGGGCATTTTGATGTCTAATTTCTTGAATTCCTTATATATTCTGGATATCAGTCCTCTGTCAGATGTGGGGTTGGTGAAGATCTTTTCCCATTCTGTAGGCTGTCGCTTTGCCTTGTTGACCATATCCTTTGCTCTACAAAAGCTTCTCAGTTTCAAGAGGTCCCATTGATTGATTGTTTCTCTCAGAGTCTGTGCTACTGGTGTTCTATTTAGGAAGATCCAGCTATACCACTCTTGGGCATATACCCAAGAAATGCTCAACCACACCATAAGAGCACTTGTTCAGCTATGTTCATATCAGCATTGTTTGTAATAGCCAGAACATGGAAACAACCCAGATGCCCTTCAACTGAAGAATGGATAAACAAAATGTGGTACATATACACAATGGAATACTACTCAGCAGAGAAAAACAATGGCATCATGAGGTTTGCAGACAAATGGATGGATCTAGAAAAAATCATCCTGAGTGAGGTAACCCAGACTCAGAAAGACAAACATGGTATGTACTCACTCATAGCAGGATACTAGACATGAAACAAGGATGACTTGTCTGCTACTCACATCACCAGGGAGGCTACCTGGAAAACAGGACCCCAAGAAAGACACAGGGATCGCCCAATGACAGAGAAATGGAATGAGATCTACATGAACAGCCTGGACATGAGTGGGGGTAATGAAAGACGAGGGTCGAGGGAAAGAGAGCTTGGGGGAGCGGGAGATCCCAGCTGGATCAACAACAGAGAGGGAGAACAAGGAATAGGAGACCATGGTAAATGAAGACCACATGAGAATAGGAAGAAGCAAAGTGCTAGAGAGGCCCACAGAAATCCACAAAGATACCCACACAACAGACTGCTGGCAATGGTCGAGAGACAGCCCGAACTGACCTACTCTGGTGATGGGATGGCCAAACACCCTAATTGTTGTGCTAGAAACCTCATCCAACTACTGAGGGATCTGGATGCAGAGATCCATGACTAGGCCCCGGGTGGATCTCTGGGAGTCCAATTAGCGAGAATGAGGAGGGTTTATATGTGCGAGAATTGTTGAGACCAAGGTTGGATAAAGCACAGGGACAAATAGCCAAATGAATGGAAACACATGAACTATGAACCAATGGCTGAGGGGTCCCCACTGGATCAGGCCCTCTGAATGGGTGAGACAGTTGATTGGCTTGATCTGTTTGGGAGCCATCCAGGCAGTGGGACCAGATCTTGTGCTCATTGCATGAGTTGGCTGTTTGAAACCTGGGGCCTATGCAGGATTGTTTGGCTCGGCCTGGGAGGAGGGGACTAGACCTACCTGGACTAAGTCTACCAGGTTGACCTCAGTCTGTGGGGAAGGCTTTGCCCCAGAGGAGATGGGAATGGGGGGGGGGGTTGGGGGGAAGGTGAGGTGGACGGGAGGGGGGAGAACAAGGGAATCCGTGGCTGATATGTAGAACTGAATTGTATTGCAAAATAAATTAAAAAAAAAAAAAAAAAAAAGGAGTCCAGGTTGGCCTAAGCCAATTACAGTGTTATCATTCCTACTGCTAGTGATTCATCTAGACATAGGCACACGGGAAATAAGACTTACCAAGAACTCCACAGGGAGTCTTCTGGGAAAGGCTTCTTTACTCTTTGAAGACACATACAGGCTGAAGCCGTTTCTTCTTCCTCTGAATCTTGTTTGGTCTGCATGCCTTGTCTGTGAGCAACACCAGCACAAAATGCCAACCCAGATGAGGGAGAGGACCTGGGTTTCTAAAAATGCCTTTGAATCTCCGAATCAACTAGTTCTGTAACTGTCGTTCTTTGTCCTATCTTATTTTTATGTGTGTGAGATAAGAAACCTCCTTATTAATTGAGTCAGCTGCAGTCAAAATGCTGAAGATCAGAATTCAGAATTCTCTCTCTGTGTCTTTCTCTCTCTCATTATATATACTATATGATGTTTGTTTCTGGGATGTAACAACCCCAAACAATAGGTACTGCTAATCTTAGGAATGAACACTCCTTGAAACTGCCACTGAAGGCTAGAAAATAGTTTCATGAAGCTCGTGGCTAGCCTTGCTCACGGGATGCTGGCTAAACAAGTCCTGGGTGAAATGTCCTAAGGGAGCCACATATTAGACTGAGTACACAGCAGAGAGCTGGGGCGGACAATGTCAGAGATCATAGGAAGATGGTGGGAGAATTTGTTGCCTGATCCTTGAATTTATTGACCCTTTTGAGACCCATTGCTATACTGCGTCCTAAAGCCTCCTACCAGAGATTAGGTTCTAGTCTGAGGAACGCAGCAAAAAGTGATGCTTGCCACTCTCTGCCCAAGCCACCACACCTTCCTCCATGCTTGTTTCCCTTTCATTTGCTTGGCTAAGAAATGACCTCAGGAATGACCTTGAATGTCACTAGTTGAAAGTTAGTGAACACAGAACCACACCCCTGTCTTCTCCCTTCTCTTGCCACCCAGGAATAGCCACAATAAATATTAACTTTGAGCACCATACAAATTTTTGTCTTACATCTGATAAGATTTGGAGGCTTGTTAGAGTTGCTACTGTTAACAAGGTCAGCTCATCAGACTTGCAGCATTGAGTGTCAGCCCTGAACAGGTGAGTTAATGCAATCCAGATTTACAAATTAGGGAAGTGAGGGTCTGAGAATCGAGCACCTCACTCGGAACATCCCAGAAGTGAATTGTGAAAACACTCTGTGTTCCCTGAGGCCCTTTCTAAAAAAGAACCACCGAATAAATTCCAATTTGGCTCTAATTCTTGAAAACTGATATTGACCAATACACTAAATAATGAAGGCTGTGTGAATTAAACATTATTGATTATTGTTTTACGTGTACATTCCTAAATACAGCTGCTTTTAGCTTTCTATTAAGCTTTATTTTAAGTCATGTTTGCAAGAATTATCATGTGACTCATACTCACTGATGTTTTGGTGAAGATTGGCATTCTATAGGTCGATCATTTCTAATTTCCCCCCATCTTAGCATATAATTTGTCTTTCTAATGAATCTCTGGTAGCATTTAATGCTAGGCTCTCAAAAGTATCAAAATTGGGGGAAACTAGGCTCTTCCGTCTTCATTTAAGCAAATAAGAATTGATACATTTTATCATAGAGGAAAAAGAAAAGCAATTTGAAAGTCACCTCAATAGTCAGGTTTTTCCCTGTGGAATTCCGGTTACAGGTTAGCAAGAGAGATGGACTGTGACAATCTGTGTAGTACTATAGTACAGCAAGAGGCACCAGTGGAAATGTTCTTGTTATTAGTTTAACATAGTAACGAAGGACATACGTGTGGAATATATATACATATATCCATCTCTGTCTACTGAAAAAGGCTAAAAAGAATGGCAATCAGCAAGCCAACGGACAAACATTTGTTTCTGATATAATTCTCAAAACAATACAATCAAAACAAAAATATTTAAGATTTCTAGAAAAGGTGGCTAATTCTAGAACCAGTCGTGGAAAGATACAAGGTGAGCCTGGAACATCTTGTAAGATTATAAAGTAATGATTTTTTTTTAATGAATGCTTTTTTAAAAGAGAAAAAGGGCATCCTATCACAATAGGGTATGTCAAAGAGACACAGGAGCCAAGCGGCTAACCGAAAGTATGGTCAAGGGCTAAATTTAAAATAATTTCAATAATCAAACAGTCTATAATTATAAAGCAAAGTGCAAAGAAATATATATAGGTTTATATGAAGGTAAGTAAAAGCTAAATAGAATAACACTGTGAAATAGACCAGTATCCTTCACAGACGAATTTCAAATGATTTGCAGTCCCAGCCAGTATCCTTCACAGACAAATTTCAAATGATTTGCAGTCCCAGCTTCAAGGAGGAAGGAGGAAAGGCTAGCTCTCCACACCTCTAGAGTAGCTGCACATAGCAATTTTCCCCTCAAAAATATAGTATGGAATATGGTTTATTTCACAATGAAGGGAACTGATAATCCAGGCAAGCAGTTGGGTTCACATTAAGAGTCACATTTACAGAACACATCCTTGATGGGATACAAAAGCAGCACTTTCTCTCTATGCTCTTCCTTCATCAAATCGTATCTGATCCTGAGAGAAATATCCCATAGTTCCCACTAGGGAAAAATTCTAAAGGACCCCATGAACCTCAAAAGTTTTGAGTAGATCAATCAAAAGCAAGGACTGTCTGAGACACTGTCCCAACTAAAGGACACCAAAGGAAACATGACCACTAAATATTATGTGAGTTTGTAGATGGGATCCTGGGACAGAAAAAGGACATGAGTTAGAAACTGAAGAAATAACTATATCAAATACACTGTACTAATATATTAATAATGGAAGAAATTGGATGATAGTTTGAAGTCATCTTCCTAAAACTTTCTAAAATACTTCAGTACTTTCTAAAATTTTCTACAATCTAAAATGTCTAAAATTAAGCCATTTTTATTTTATCACCATCAATCTCATCATCAAATTATAAATAGAAACATTTTAATGCCATCTTTCATTTGTGAATATATGCCTTTATCTTTCCAGGTGACTTCATACTGCATATAATTTTCACTTAACAGTGAATGAATGTATTTCCATGTATTATAATTCTACACGATGTCTATTTATAACAGTCATTCATTTTAGCAAGCCATTATACTTCACTTTTAGTCAATTATATATTATACTCTTTCCTCCAAATTATGATGGATCTATTAGACAAGGTAATGAAGAAAGAGCAAAGAAAAAGGTAGCACAGAATAACTGTGGCATACTTGTGTATTGTGAGAAGTGAGGTGGAGGTCTACTGTTGATAACAGTGGAAACATGATGCACTGAGAAAGAAAATACCCAGATATCAGTTCCAGCCTCAGCATTAACTCTGGGTGTAGCCTCGAAGTCCCCTAATCTCCCTACTGTCTAGGGTCCTTGTTTACAAAACAGAATATGCAACTTATTGAACAGAGTCCATTCCCAAATTTTACTGTTGTTATTTTAAGACAGTTTCTTAGAAAAATGCATGCAAAAAATCTGACCAAGTATATTTAATATAATAAAGAGACTGAAGAAAATGGTTGTAGATATTCTAATACTTGAGATTCACTTAGTGTCTGTGTATATGAGTGTTTTTCCTGAATATGGGCATGTGTACCACATGCATGCCTGGTGCCTGTGGAGCTCAGAAGAAGGCAATGGTTTCCCTGGAGCTGGAGTTACTGATGGTTGTGAGCCACCAGGTAAGTGCTGGGAACTGAACCCAGATCCTCTGCAACAATATATACTCTTAATTGATGCACCATCTCTCCAACCCCGATATAAATACTTTTCTTTTTTTTTCTGCGTAACCAAAAGTTTTGGATCATGTAGCACTGATGGAACACATTATAAATGGTGTAAAAATCTGATAGGGAGGGAAAAAAAGGCTTCCCTTTGAGGGAGAGAGAGGAGTATTGCAAAGACATTGGATTCAGTTGAACACAAGGAGTGGCAGTCTAACAGTAGAATGACCTTCCAAGACATCTGGAAAGGCCTTAGATGTGAAGAAGTTTGTAGCTTAGACTGCCTAGTGAGACATCAAGAATATTACAGAAACTATTTCCCAACACAGTCACCAGGATCGTTTCCAGTTTTATAAGGCTGGAATTTTTCTACAATCTCATTTACCCAGTCCTATAAATTCTGGTTCTTAAATATTATCTTTTCTCTTAGACTAGGCTGTTTTATTTGCTGCATTAGCTGAGGGATCACTTCTAATGGAGAAAAATAAATATATAAAGTATCTATTTAGAAGATGGGCCCATTAGCTTGTTTGTGTGCTGAGATGTACACCCCTGTAAGCATCTAATGGAAAAATGGGTCCCTGGTTGTTACCAAGGAAGTGAACAAAAAGCATCCCTTGAGACCCTGTCTTCTCTATGGAAGTCGTTCGGAACTGGAAAAATCAGTTCACAATCAAGTTGCACAACTTGTTCTCAGAATTTCTTCATCTTGTTTGCATGTTTGTTTGTTTTATTTCACCCCCGCTCCCCAAGCAGGAACTTATGAATACCCTAGCAGCTTTAAAATTTCACACACGTTTGAAACTGATCTGGTCTGCTGGTGAGGGTCCCTAGCCTTAGGAGTACCGAGGGCAGCATTGTGGGAGCTTGCTTTCTCTATGATGGAGACTTAGCGTTTTCTGCAAGATCTGCAGTATATATTGCCCCCTGCCCACCTAGCTCTCTTTCATCAGGCGAAACTGCCAGCTGCGTCTCTGAAAGTTTTACTTCTGAAATGGGGTTGACAGAAGAAAATTATCCTACACTGAAGGTCCTGAAGCGACTGTGATAAGGAAAGGGAGTTGGGGGTGGGGTGGGCAGAAGCCAGTACTAAAAACTTTAGGTCCTGAACCCTCAAGCTTACAGAACGTGAGTATAATACTTAGGAAGAAGACACACTCCCTGTGTCACACACACACACACACACACACACACACACACACACACACACACACACACACACACACTCTTCTATGGGTAAATGCCTCCTCCCCAACCTCCAGAGCGATGATGAAGAGATCCAGGGAGCCCCAAGCACTGGCATGGATGGGGTCTCTGGCAGGCCTCAGCTTAGAGCTTGTGGCAAGGCAGCCTGGAAAGTGTTGCAAGGAAAGCATTTGCTTTGTGGAATGTTGAAAATGCAGCATCATCCTCTCTGCTCCCTTTTCTTTGGCCAAAAGACAGAATTCCAGGGCACGGGGCTCTAAGAGGAGCTTGAAATCTGCCCTCTGGAGGAGGCGTGGAGCCCCTCCCTCCTAGGCTCTGATGGTCCCTGCTCCCGCGGGCCAGCAGCTCCATCACCCTTTCCTCTTCCATTCACTCCAGCCGGGAAGAGAAGGAAAACAAAACTCTAAAAATAACTGTCAGCATCTTAAAAAGAGAAAAGCTTCGCTGCCACCACCACCACCACCACCCCCCTCTTCTACTCCCGCCCTCCCTCCGCGCCACGGGGCACATGTCTGCTTCTTACAACACCGCGAGGCACATGGTCCCAGTGAGACACCGAACCCCATCGGGACAGAGAGGAAATCCACATCTGTGGGACGCTCCGCACAGAACCGCCACCTCCAGCGAGGGAGGCCGGGGGGACTGCAGCAGCGACATGAAGAAGGGCTAGAGCTAGGGGACGCGGCTCATGCGGTGAGAGGCAGCGCGCGCGCGCGCGCCGGCCAGGGCACGGGGAGGCCGGGGACACCGGGTGGGCCCTGCCACCCCCCGCAGCGCCCGCCGTCCGGGGGGGGCCCCCACGCGCGCTCCCGAGACTTGAGACTTGCGGGCCTTGCTGCAACTTGCTGCAGTGTTTGAAAGAGTAGTAAGAGCGCATGGAGGTGGGGCCGGGGGAAGACCGGGCGGAGCGGTGGTTGCGGGGTGTGCGCGGGGAGGGGGCGGGGAGGAGGCGGTGGCGGAGGTGGCAAGGGGGGGGGGCTGATCCCCGGGGGTGGGGGGAATGGGATGGGGGAGAGAGGGGTAGCCCCAGCGCTTACACATGTCACATGTGCTTTTTAAGACGGCCGGGAGCGCCTGCGAGCTGGATCTGGTGGAGGATGCTGCGGCAGGTGCTTCGCAGAGGGCTCCAGTCATTCTGCCACAGGCTGGGCTTGTGCGTGAGCCGGCACCCGGTCTTTTTCCTCACCGTGCCGGCAGTCCTGACCATCACCTTCGGCCTCAGCGCGCTCAATCGCTTCCAGACCGAGGGCGACCTGGAGCGCCTGGTTGCTCCCAGCCACAGCCTGGCCAAGATCGAGCGCAGCCTAGCCAGCAGCCTTTTCCCCCTGGACCAGTCCAAAAGCCAGCTCTATTCGGACTTACACACCCCTGGGAGGTATGGCAGGGTGATCCTCCTCTCCTCACCCGGGGACAATATTTTGCTCCAGGCTGAGGGGATCCTGCAGACCCACCGAGCCGTGCTGGAAATGAAGGTGAACCACAAGGGCTATAATTATACTTTTTCCCATCTATGTGTATTGAGAAATCAGGATAAGAAATGCGTGCTGGATGATATTATTTCAGTGCTAGAGGATCTCAGGCAGGCTGCCGTCTCCAATAAGACAACAGCCAGGGTGCAAGTAAGGTATCCCAACACTAAATTAAAGGTATGCTCCTCCTGCATGCTTCTGCCACTTAAAGAGGCGGCACTTCATTTCTTGCCCTAAACAAGCAAAGAAAATGCAGAGGTCTCATCCTTAAGGCTCAGAGGCTACGGCTTCTTTCATTTCTGGAGGGGTGGAGGGGAAATGATGGGCAACTGAGCAAAGAAAATGTGCAATGAACGGTACAACTAGATAAGAAATTCAAAGCCAAATCAAATACCAAAAAGAAAAAAAAAAGAAAAAAGAAAAGAAAAAGAAAAAAAAGTTTCTGAGACCCTGCAGTTACATCTTTGTTCAGGGTTAATAAATCAGTGGATGGAAGGGGGAGGGGGTGTCCTGAATAATTGGGGGATTTCTTTTCATAATGGGGCTCAATGTATTTCTTATTACTGATTACACATTCACCTGGTATCATATCCACCTTTTCGCATCTTCCGCCTGGCTTGAATTTTTTACAGGTGTGGTTGTGGAATTTTGCTGCCCTGTGGTTATGTCTGTGGGTTATGAATGTGGCAGGGATTCCAGGAATTGTGTGTGTGTGTGTGTGTGTGTGTGTGTGTGTGTGTGTGTGTGTATGAGCTTGCATAGCAAAAGAAGTAGGAATTTTCTATGAATCAGAACAGGTATGTGTGCTTAACTGATGCATTAGTTTCCTTAGTATGCCCTTCCTATCCCATAAAGTATCCCAGACCCAAAGAAGATTGATTACAGCTGCCAAATAACAAAAGTAAAGAAAAAAGTTCACAATCAGCAGAAAATACAAGGCATTTCAACATTAAATTGCTGTACTGTTTGGACTCTCAAGTCAAATTTTGACACTCAGTGAGATTCCTGAACTCATTCTCCACTGTCAGGACTGAGATGCTGCAGCCGATGAGGCATGCAGTCTGCAGGTGACTGAAGTCTCAGGGACAAGTGTGACTTCCAAAAGACTCACTGCACCATTTGTGTGCTTGACCCTATTCGTGCTCGGAAGCTACACCTCCAAGAACTCCCAAGACAGGTGTTCCTCAAAAAGAAAATGATGTATGTGGGTCTGTGTGTGTGTGTGCTCTTCTATGGAGATCATAGAATTGGGAAGACCAGTACAGGATATCGCAATGCCCAGTTATCTATTTAACAGTCACCAGTATAGAAAATGCAAATGACTTCCTCAGGACTTTTAAGAGAAAATGCGTATTTCCTGAGTTAAGCAACAATTTAGTATGGTTAGAAAACTAATGATAGCTTTGCCTTGCCTCCTTTGAGCATGGTACTTTGTTTGCAGGGATCCAGAGGCTGCCCGGGTCTCAGCTTTACCAAACTGAGCAGCCCCTCTGAGGTTTAAGGAAAGCAGAAAGATGAGTCATTAGCTTACATGAGGTGAAGGGCTTGTCTGCTTTGTGCTACTGAGGAAGCATGATGGAGATCTGTGGTTGGGCAGCATGCTTTTCATTTCCCCGCTCCTTCGCCATCACCATCATTGCTTGCTAAGGAAAGGATGTGGTGGAGAGGTGGTCTTTCTCACCTATAGTCCTAACCCAGTTCTCTTTGGTGTCAACCGTGTAAAGAAAGATTTGAGCTGTATCATAGTCACACTTCAGTGTGTTTTCCCTATTGAGTCAAGTTTGCAGGTCATTAATATGTATAATTAGTTGGGTCTCAATCACCTTTATTCAGCAGAACTATCCAAGTGGAAGGACATCATCCAATCAGCAGCTGTATACATTTTGATGGTGTGGCGATATCATCTTGACATTTACAATACCGATCTATGTGGAATTCTTTTTATTCATCCAGTAGTTATTAGTTGTGCCTGTATGATTTTCTGCGCAGTCTTCTAGGCACATGAGATTGAATTATGGCAATATAACTGCTGTTATTTCCAGTGAGTTTCAAGGTAGTAGATGTCAGCATTTTCATTCACCAAGGCAAGAGTAACTTGCCAGCACAGGCTCTGCAATTGTTGTGTGCACTCTTGAGCCAACACCATGCTGGCCTATGGTACATCTTCCATATACACTTTCTGACTGATTGACTGATTGGATGGTTGATGGATGTATAGGCAGAACTCTATGAGTAACCATAAAGAAAAGGTGTAACTCACTGCAAGTGTATTGAGTAATAGAATTAGTCTGTTACCCACAGAAGGGACAGGACTATCACATATGGGCCAATGTTCTTATTTAGCTTTATTCGATCATTCATCTTTTCTCAAGTGTGCTGATTTGAGTCTGTGTTTATGGCTTCAATGGGGAGGGTGTCTTTAAGCTATCTTGGGGTAAATGAGCCTTTTGAGGTATTCCAAGAACAACAAACCCTCTCAAGACTAGACGTAATCACAGGTGCTCATGCAGTATAAAACACAATTCTGTAAGTACCACAAAAACCTAGAACAGGAGCAGAACTCTCTGGCCGAGAGTAAAATGAGATGGCTTGTTTTGATTGTGTGTTGTTTTTAAATGATTTGAATTCATGTGTGGCCATGTGTCCCGAGGTGTATCTCCATGATGTTGGTACTCAAAAGTTTGATCACTACTGTTTTTAAAGAAGACAGGGGAAATTTCACACGTACATTTTAGTTTTTTAATTCATTTTGTTCAGCTCTATCTTACCAGTATTCCCACCTCTATCCAGTATTAAAAACTTCTATGCTGGGAAAATCCAGCAGTAGGAAGGAATCACAAGTTTGGGGAAATGGCAAGATAAATAGTAGCAGCTGGACAGTGTGAAAAGGAACTGTCAATCACTTGGCTTCAAAGGGGCAGTAGGTGAGGGCTGGACATGGAATGATGATAGGTAAGCATTGATTGACAGGGAGAAGTCATCAAAAACCTGAGTTGTGATGATCAAAGTACTAAAACAGCTAGCCTGTTCTGAACTCAGAAAGATTTAGATCTGGTGAACATAATAATCCTGAAAATGTGATTCAGACAAGCGGGGTCACATAAATTGGCCAAAATGGAAAAATCCACCTGGGAGATTAAATATACCCAATTTGAAAAAAGCAGCACTTGGCCTACAGAACCACAGAGGCAGTCAGATTGATACAGGCTTTGAAAATACAGAAAAAGCTGTAAGATCAGAATCACATGTATAATATGAATTCTGTAATCTTTACTTGGTACTGATCTCTATGGGGTAGCCTCAACTGAGCCCATGGGCCATGTCTCACTTCCTTTGTGCACTCCTTTTCTCTTACCCAGCCTTGACTACATCTCTAAAGACAATATTTACAGTGAATACTTATTGACTAGTTTAGTAATCAATTGTTCATTCAGTGTCACAAAATTATTATCAGCCTTTGTGACATGCTTCCATTTTAAAGATATTATTTATGTTTTACAGATGTTTCTAAAGTGTTTTTTAACCTCATAATTGAAAAACTCTTAATACATATGTATATACGTGCATACACAACAGTTAAATATATACGTTAGGTAAAGTCGTACAATGTGGCTACGTACACATACAACTGTTAAATAGACACATGAGGTACAGTAATTCTATGGGGCCAGACTGAGTTTTTAAGTAAAATTCCTGCAAATTGTTAAACAATTCTGTATTTATGAGCTGTGCTAGATTGTAATAAATGTTTTCATTATCATGCAGGCAGCTTGGGTGGTTACAGATCATGTGTCCCTGCTTCTTAGACAAGTCATTGTAATCTCACCTTTCTCCCCGTAGAAGTGGCAATTCTCATGTTGCCCCAATTCCGTACAGTTAAAGCAAATGTAGTGCAGATAAAGGGGTCCTAGATCTCAGCAACTTCGCTACTACTAGAAAGGAGTAACTCAGATTGGATTTCTCTGCAGCCTATCTATCTCTCCCTTTAAATTACACCAACTTCCATATATCTGGACACATTTCACAATCAGTATGTACATCAGAATAGCACCTTTATAAATAGGAGCAAAGATACACATTTCTGACCATCAATAGAGGACAGTGCTTCTTAAGTACATTCTTAAGTACATTACCCATTTTTAGAAGGTGTTGCAGTTAATTATATAGTTCTGATCTCAGTGGAAGGGGAACTAGAGCCAAATTGAACAACTATGGTCAGCAGTTTTTACTTCTACTCCTAATTCAGTCTAAAATCTCTCTCTCTCTCTCTCTCTCTCTCTCTATATATATATATATATATATATATATATATATATACATATACATATATACATATATATAAATTTTCAGATATTGTGATTTAAACTTACCTTTTCGATTCTGCTTTTCAATAAAGGGAGAAAAGTTGCTACCATATTAAATATTTTCTTTGTATCCTAAAGGTTTCCAGATGTTATGTGTCATTTAGCTTATATAAATTTATAAATCGCATTCTCATTTTATAGGGAAAAAAAACAGGGAGTTTCAATTATTTCCTTGTGATCCTCAAGTTAGTGCATATATTCAGGCTCAGACTTAAGTCCAGAGCTGTGTAGCTCAAAAGCCTAATTACAACACGCTATTGGTCTTACCATTTTCTGAAATGTTCTCACAAAGAAAGAGAGAGAAAGAGAGAGAGAGAGAGAGAGAGAAAGGTGGAGCGAACCATTTCCACATCACCCCCTTGCTTCCTGGGAGTGACTAGCTCCTAAAAAGATGGCAGGATGGCACTCCAGTCAGGGCAAACACCAGCTCTCTACCTAACATGACAGATGCTACAAATTGAGCAAACTACTCATTGGCGCATGACTTCACCTTTGATATCGTGTCCCCTCAGCTAAGAACCAACGGGAGTTTGCCTCTAGGATCAGCTAAAGGTGAGAAAGCTGGAGGTGACCCAAGGTTTTGAGCCAGGGGCTTATGTGTCAAGGAAGCTTGTGCTTTTCTGGCTTGCTCTAGCACCAAGGGGTGGGGAGGGGCAAGAACTGATGAGATACCAAGAGCTAATTCAAAGTGGAGAAATGTTCAGGAGACCTCGTTTCCAGTGCTAATTCTTTGAAGACAGGTTAGTGACTGACTGATCTCACCATCAATTTAGGTGTCAGGTTTTTTGTTTTTTGTTTTTTGTTTTTTATTGA